GGGCGGGGGGGGCGGCGGAGGCTGGGTGGCCGGCCCGGACGGGGTCATCGGGAGCGGGAGCGGGGCTGGCGGAAGCGCTGGGTTGAGCAAGCGGAGGAAGGGGGATCTCCGAGGAAACTGGCGTTACCGTAAGGAAAGGGGCCCGGAGGGAAGGGGCGGCATGTCCCCCGGGCGGCTCCAGCCCCGGCACCCTGCCCCCGGGCGCAGGCCCACCTGGATGTGCAAGGGCACCTGGACGTGCCCGCGGTCCCTGCCTCCCCGCCTTCTCGGTGTCCCCGTACGCTTGTACCACCCCTGGCTTCCTGGCCAGAGGACGGAATATTGGTGAAACTGGGCAAGGCTCGGCAGCCAGCCTCAGCCACTGCAACCCTCTGGATGGCTGTCAAGGGCGAGGGGGGCTAGCGGCACCCCAGCTCAGAAATGACTGCTCTGGGGGGCAGCTGGGCCTGCGGAAGTGATGTTGGGTTAATCAGCTTAGAGCCTGTAAATTGTGAAGGGCTAGATGCCTCGGGTCTTGCCTCACCACGCGAAATGTTCCACACCACTGTTCGGCTACCCCACGTCCTCTGTTCTCCCGCTCCGTGCACGCGCACACGTGAACCCCGTCAAGGCTCCCCTGTCGCGCTAGACAGCAAGCCAGGTTCGGGCGGTCAGGGATTTGTACCTCACCTCTCCCATCAACCAGGGGCCGGTTAACCCTTTTCCTACAAGCGTACGTTGGAAGGGCGTGCCATTTTCACAGGTAACAGAGAATCTGTCTCTGACAGAGGGTTTTCTGACTCTCAGCCTGCAGCCTTTGCGGCAGGCTCCCTGGCCTCTCTGGTGTAGATATTGCTCTTTCGCACCCTGCTGCCTTTCTCAGCGCTTCAACCAAGCTTTTGGAGCCGGGGGTTTGCGTGCTGTGTTTTCGCCTAATGCTCAGGCTCTAGAGGGAGCTGTGTTCGCACTTGGCTCGTGATTTTCTGCGGGAAAGGTGGGAAACAAGCTGTATAGTAGAACCTATTATATCATTAAGGGGGATAGATGCGTTTTACAGTGTTAAGCTGACTTTTCTTGTTATTTTGACGCTGATTCCTATCTGGAAAATATAGGTAGGAGAAGACTAACAGGGAAGTTTCATATTTAATTGCCTTTAATTTTCATGATTGACACATACTTAGATGAAAGCGATCAGCTCTGACTCATAATGCAGAATAAATGCATATGGACCAAACTACAACATCCATTTCAACCAGAGTCTGCATCAGAATTCATATGGTGTGTTCTGGGGTGCACCTAAACCCTGGATTTTTAAATTATCAGCATACCTTCATTAAAATCCAGCCATACACCTTCTAATTTTCCTGCCTTGTTTTTGATCAAATTTCACCACTGTCTCCATGCTGCTGTGTGTCAGAATTACATCAGCCAAAATGCTCACATGCTTTTAACTTCATGTACAATATAGATCTTGTGTGACTAGATTTTCAAGATTGTGACCTTGTAAGATCACAGTTGATTTCCAGAGGACTTTACAAAGAGAAACAATACTCACTTGTTTAAAGAAAAGAGGTGCTTATATGAAACTTCAGATCACTTTTAGGCTCTAAGTCCAGTTAATTTCCTTGTAGTTCAGTCACAAAAGACGGAAAGCACGTCAGTGGTGGTTTCCAGTTTTTATGGAGATGATCTCAGTATCCCCTTCTCCTGCCCATCCTTTTCACTCCCACCTCTTGTGTCGTGACGTCCCATACTTGAGATAGGTGGGGAACCCTCCAGACCCTGTCCAGACTAACCAGCTTGACCAGTGTTACCTTATTCTAATTTCCAGCAAGAGATTTCAGCGTTCACTAACGCTAGGCTTTTGGATGTCCTGCTCCATGCTGAGGCATGAGGGAAACAGGTCACCGGTTTACCAGAGTGGTGGGAAGAGGAGCCTGAGCAAAAGGATGAGCATGGATCAAGCAATCAAGCAGAGCTTGGAGGGAGTTGTGTGGTTAGAGGAAATAGGGTAACTTTACCAAGCTAGCCTTTCTGAGCGAATGAAGTTGAAGGGAATACTTGAAAGCTGAGTGGGAAAGACGCTGTGCTAAGGGGACAGTGTAGCTAGATTAGGTTGGCAGGGGAAGGCGTGACGGACAAGGGGTAAGCACTGAGGTCAGGAACTGCTGCTGCTGCTGCTGCCGCCTCTGCTCTTCTTTCTCCTCTTTCACCAAGTCTCGGTGCAGATTTGACCGAAGAATGAGAACCACTCAGCACTGCCTGACTCCAGGTGCCAACCAATGTGGGAGAGGAGAGGAACCCCATGCTGCCTGACATGTGCTGATGCCTCTGAGCTGGAAGTCTGCTCAGCAGCTAGTGACTTAACTGTGACATCCTGGTCACATTTCCTGCCCACTGCAGTGGTATTTCAACAGCTCATTTAAGACAGAAAATTCCCACCCCCCCCCCCTTTTACAACATATGGGAAAAAATAAAAAATGTTTTTTTTA